TCTGTGCACAAAGGTGACTGAAGTTCGGCATCCCTGTGCACCTGCCCAGGATCTGTTGTGCACCCACATATCATGCAAGGATTCACTAACCTCCGCTTCCCCACAAGGAGTGGGTGTAGTAGACAGGTGCCACTGTCTGGTTGTGCCACCCTTGGGATGAAGGAATGGGTTTGTCAACTGAAAAGACACTCCATCATCTTCCACAAAATATGTCCCACACAGATCAGGGGGGAGGGGAGAGGTACATGCAAGGGAGGTTTGTGTGGACAGACTTGATACATGCAGCTGGTGGTCATGCAAGGGATGTGGTCAACAAGACACATGGACAAACGTTACTCCAGGAGCCACCCCAAAAAAAATCATGCAGGAAAGCCTCTTTCATGCAAACTGCTGTGCATGCTGACAGCAAGCGTACATCCAACAGGATGCATTTATTGTCATAACAGAGGACAGTTGCTAGGGTGCATGCGTAGGGTTACAATTAGGGTTAGGGTTAGGGTTAAAATTAGGGGTAGGGTCAGGGTTCTATTATTCAAGTGCACCTGCACCATTGCATCCACACCTGGAAGCATAGGGTGCTTTAAATTAAAGCTTGCATCATAGGGCACATGCTCTGGATCTCTGAGTCAATTTCCACTGCATGTGCGACAATGCATTTATACAGCTGTTTTCTGGTGCATCAGTGTTGCTGCATACATACACACATGCGAAGGTACGCATTTTTACCAAAGGAGCGGAAAAAAGTGGCTCCTTTTTGGAGTGGCTTTTCTCGGCATAGGAGGGCTAGAGGGCGCTTTCCTGGAGACTTTTAGGCATGCGTCATCTAAAGGCCATGCCTACAAGTCACCCTCAAAGCACCCCTTTTTGCCCTTCTGCATAGCCCCTAAGCTTCCTTTCTCAGATGTATGCATCTGTATCCATGCATCTAAGGAAGTAGACCCAGTGGTGTCACTAGGGGTGCAGGGCGTGTGGACCACACCAAATGACACCCTAAGGGGGGGGGGTGACACCACTGCTGCTCAATTGCCTGTATTTTGGCAGAAACATTGTGGCATTAGCCAGTATCTCTTTAAAATGTTTTAAGAGATGGTGGGAGTGAGGTGAAGCTCAGTGGGAGAAGAAAGGAGGGGCCCTTAATTTTTTAAAATTAACATTTCAAATTTCAAAATTTTAATTTTGTAAAGTTTTTTTAAAAAATGATATTTTTTTTGAAAAATATTATTTTAAAAATTTCTTTTAAAACATTACATTTTAACCAAATCTTCACTATGTATATGTAAATATTAATACAAAAAAGTATTAATAAGGATTCTGTATGGCGTGAAACAGGAGGAGGTCAACACCTTGGTGGCACCATGAGTTCCCACACTGGGTGACAGCAACCCTAGAAATGCCACTGAATAGACCTAGTCTACAAAACTTATGAGACAATTTCTTTTGCACAATTAGTCTCTAAGGTGCTGCAAGATCCCTTCACACACTGTACTCATATTCAACTTCTGTACTGATACTCATTTTCATTTTGGCATTCTAACCATGGCCAAGCAGGGACTTGAACCCTGGTCTCCAGAGTCATAGTCCAGTGCTCAAACCATTGCACTGCTCTACATTTGCCTTAGAGTCACCATAAGTCAGAAATGACTTGAAGGCAGATAACATCAATATCAACAACAATATCCTATGATGCAGTTACCCTACAACAAACAGTGTTTATACATGGCATTTTCTTTCATTACCCTTATTTCTTGGCAGCTTGTACATCCTTTTAGGTTCTCTTTCATTTTAAATTATGTGCTCCCCCAGTTACAGTATAATTTTTTAGTAGTCCACCAGGTTTTATAGTGTAGATGGAATTCAA